CCTGAACCCCCAAACCCCTAAACTCCTAAAGCCTAAACCCTAAACCCTAGACCCTAAACCCTAAACCCTAAACCCTAAACCCTAAACCCCAAACCCTACCCTACAAGGGTCCCAGTTAGGGGTCCCTCCTAAAGTCCTTACAGAGAACCGCTCGGCGGCCTGGAGCACCCGGCGAAAGTCCGCCAAGGTCTTCACACTGTGCTTCCTTGGGGTTTAGGGTTTGGGGTTTAGGGTTTAGGGTTTAGGGTTTGGGGTTTAGGGTTTAGGTTTTTGGGTTTCGGGTTTAGGGTTTCGGGTTTAGAGTTGAGGGCGTGGGGTTTAGGGTTTGGGGTTTAGGGTTTTGGGGTTTGGGGTTTGGGGTTTAGGGTTTAGGGTTTCGGGGTTTAGGGGTAATACAGTGGGCTTAGATAATTACCAATACTATTTTGGGGGTTCCTTACTATGATTATAGTATCATATACCCCAAAACCCTATTCTAATTATTCAGGCCCCTACTATAGAACCCTATTATAGATCCCCCTTACTTTAGTCTTCAGAGGCAAGTGGTGGATCTGCAGCGCGAGGGCCCGGAAGCTGCACTGAAATGGTGGGAGAAGACTGGCCTGAGGTGTGCGCTGTCGTTGGGCTTCTTGTGAGGGCTCTAGGTAGTTCAATACGGTTTTGCCAACAAGCTCGTTCTTGGTGGTACGGCTGATGGACAAAATCCTGCATGACCTTATATACCTAAACTATGGGATTTATGGTACTATACTATATTTGGGTCATGCAGAATTTTGTCCATCAACAGTATGGGGTCCAGGTTTACACTGACGTTCAGAGTTCCGGGTTCACTGCGGTTCAGGGCTTCGGGAGCAGAAAAGAAGTACAACCCTAAACCCTAAACCTTACACCCTAAACCCTAAACCCTAAACCTTACACCCTAAACCCTAAACCCTAAACCCTATAGGGTTGACGGGTTCAGGGTTCCGCGTTTCAGCGCACAGGTGCTTCGCAGCTTCCCCCGGGGTATGCTCCCGGGCTGATCCGGCTCTAGGCTCCAGGGTTTGGGATAGCCCTACACCCCCGGAATCTCCCGTATCCATAACTACCCGTAGGCCCCGTGGTACGGTTGATGGACAAAATCTTGCATGACTTTATATACCTAAACTATGGGATTTATGGTACTCTACTATACTTGGGTCATGCAGAATTTTGTCCATCAACAGTAGTTCCTTTGTGGGTTTACCTTATAGGGTTCTATATATGAACCCGAAAACGGAGCTACTTTAGGGCCTATGGCTATCCTGGAGGTACCGTATCCTCGTCTGTGGCGGTGACGGAACAGTCGGCTGGGTTCTCGGCGCGCTATACCAGCTAGATGCCTGGCAACCTTTTGGAAGATTTTGGGCTCAGCTGCACCCCAAGTCCACAAGCGCTAATGCTCGAATCTTATCCCCTTAAACCCTCGTTGTAGGTGCACACCCTAAACCCTAAACCCCTAAACCCTAAACCCTAAACTCTAAGCCGTTGAAACCTCTTGCTCAGGAGTTGGCCTACCTGCCTCCTGTTGGAATCCTTCCTTTGGGCACAGGGAACGACCTGGCTCGAGTCACAGGAGCAGCGGTTTAGGGTTTAGGGTTTAGGGTTTAGGGGTTTAGGGTTTAGGGTTCAGGGTTCAGGGGTTCAGGGTTTAGGGTTTAGGGTTTAGGGTTTGCTTAAGGTTTGGGGTTTAGGGTCCAGGATCATTTGGGGTCGAAACCCTAAACCCTGAACCACAAAGCCCCTACTTCTCGACCCTAAAATTTGCAAACCCTGAAGCGTCTAGTCTAGCTTTGGAGAACCCAAACCCTAGACCCTTAGGTTTGAGACCCTAAGCCCCAAACCCGAAGCCCTTAAGTTAAGGCAGTTAAAACTTAAGTTAAAACCCTAAAAATCCCCAAACCCAAAGCCCCTAAGTTAAAACCCCAAAAGCCCTAAGACACCCTTAAGTCTAGGTTTGAGATGTTGATTTTCTTAGGCTCGTGGATTCCTTGAGGCACTTGAGGGTTCAGATGCAGAGTCTCCGGGTCCTGGGTAAGTAGGACTGTACTTGTTAGGGTTTAGGGTTCAGGGTTTAGGGTTTAGGGTTTAGCGTCTAGGGGGGTTTGGGGTTTAGGATCTAGGGGTTTAGGGTTTAGGGTCTAGGGGGGTTTGGGGTTTAGGGTCTAGGGGTTTAGGGCTTAGGGGGTTAAGGGTGTAGGGAGAACTCACATCTAGTCCGCCCCGAAGCCTCAACTAGAGCTTTGGGATGGTATTATTTAGGCTTTGTGGATGTTGGGTTCCGGCTGGAGGGGCAGACACCCTAAACCCTAAACCCTAAACCATGCTTTGTGGTTCATTCCAGAGCATGGGTTGTTGGCATTCTGGGCTACCTCGGGGCGAAGTAAGACTTGCAAGATGACTGGGAGTTAGGGTTTAGGGTTTAGGGTTGCCTTTTGAGGAAAGTTGCTCCCCGTTGTGAGTTCGTTGAAGTCGGGATTCAGGCCTGCGCAGCTTCTCATTTATCACGCCATACCGGCGGAGAGGGACCCGTTCCACAGGGTCCTCACTCACCGTCTTTCCAGGATCAAGCATGATTTGAACCCTTGCTTCCTCAACTCCAAACCCAAAGCCGTAAGTTACGCGAAAGCGCTGCAACAGCCTCGCAAAGCACACTTAAGGGACCTCATTCGTATGAACCCTTGCAGCCCGAACTCCCTAAAGCGCTCATCAGGGACGAAACCCTAAACCCTAAACCCTGTTCGGAGGATGGGGAGGTGGCTTCACCGCGTCCAGCGTTCTTCCCGTCCTGCAGCGAGTGAACGAGGCCGGGGTCGCCAAACCTCTTCTTCCTTCAACAGAGGGTCTACGGTTTAGGGTTTAGGGTTTTAGGGTTTAGGTTTCAGGGTTTTAGGGTTTAGGGTTTAGGGTTTTAGGGTTTTAGGGTTTTAGGGTTTGGGTAGGGGCCGCAAAAGACAGAGTGGTCTTCCTGATAGGGTTCCTAAATATGGTCGTTTGTAGCGTTGTAAGCGTAATAGATGCTCCCAAGCTCCGTTCTCTTTATTTCGTCTTCTATGTTGCTTATAGGGACTTACTTGTGTTTGGGGTTGGCTTGTGGGCCGTTCAATTCTTAGTGTCATCACCCGTAAACCCTAAACCCTAAACCCTAAAACCCTAAACCCTAAACCGTTTCCGACATGTTTTCCCGAAGCAGAGGCTCACGCTGAGCTGCTCGACCGCTGGACGGTTCCTTGGGCATCACTCAGGGCCTCAGGGTTTAGGGTTTAGGGTTTAGGGTTCAGGGTTCAGGGTTTAGGGTTTGAGCATCGAGCTTCCAAGACCTTGACATTTATGATTGCGTATGCGGCTGCCAGGGGCCTTGATAGTTGAAATAGGGAGAACAGGATTTGAGTCTAAGTATACAGGAGCCTAAATAATTACCTATACTAGTTTGGGGGCTCCTTATTCAAACTTTAGTATAGTGGGCCCAAAACCCTATTCTTATTATAGGGCCCCTACATTCTACTGGAGCTCGAAGGGGCTGCCGGATGCCCTTGCCCATCACTCCGAACCCTGGATTCTTTCTGTTTCAACCCTCGGGTCTCTATGCCCAGAGCACAGACCAGGGCCCACGAGAAAGAACCCCCATAGAAGCCCTTTATTTGTTGGGTCCGTCATAGTAGTACCCCTACCTTTTATGAATTTCCGGCTCTAACTTAAAAAGAGGCTCAGCGTGGTCCGGAGGGGTTTAGGGTTTAGGGGTTTAGGGTTTAGGGTTCAGGGTTTAGGGTTCAGGGTGCGAAGTGTGCGCTCACAGTGACGAGCAGCATGGAAGCCTATGCTAAACCCTCAAGGCCCCAGGGCTGAAAATCCCAGAAGTCCAACATCTTGCGTCCTGACCTGTAATTCGACAGCCCCCGAACCTGAAACCTCAACCCAAAGCCTAACTTGCCAGAGACCTTTCGGGGTTTAGGAGTTTATTGTCTGCGGTGTAGTTTAGGGTTTAGGGTTTAGGGTTTAGGGTTTAGGGTCTACGGTGTAGTGTTCCTAGGTAGTATTAAGGAGACCCCTTGAAGGGGATCCTTCTTAACCTTACTTCTGGCTCCCTTAAAAGGGGCCTTATTCAGAGGCTCTATAGGGTTTAGGGTTTAGGGTTTAGGGTCTATATCCCCAAGGGCTCCCCCAATCCTAACTCCCAAGTGTTCAGGGTGGCCTCATGCGCCTGAGGGCTTCGGTCTTGCCCCCTGGAACATGCGAGCAAGGACCCCTAAGCTACCATGCTGCTACGGTGGGGTTTAGGGTTTAAGGGTTTAGGGTTTAGGGTTTGAACGGGAATCCAGCCGTGCCGAGCAAATTCTTGCGCTTCGGTGGTTTCAACTGAGCCCAGGTAACTTCCAGCAGCCTGCCTTGCACGGATCCTTTCTGGGGGGGAAGGGTAGGCGATAGGGAGGACGAAGGAAGGATGTTTGCAATTTTCACCCGGGGGTTTGGGGTTCAGTCACAGCTTGCCTGAAGTTCCCAAATACCTCCAACATTTCTGGCAGTTGAATGAAATCCAGGTGCGAGACCCTAAACCCTTCACTTCGGACCATTAAAACCTCCAACCTCAAACCTGAGCACCCTAAACCCTAAACCCTCGACTCTACAGCTGAGACCCCCCAAGCCCTTAAACTTGAACCATAGATCCTAGATACCTTAGACCTCAAACCCTAAGATCCACACGTAAAGCCCCATGCCCTAAACCCGAAATTCAATACGCCTATACCGTCACGCACCAGATCCCCAGTTCGGGCTGTGAGCTTCGGGCCGATTTTTGGTGTTTGGGGTTTCGGGTTTTTCCAGGGTTAGGGCCTCTTCTTTCGCAACTTCTCTCCTTCGCATCGACCGGGCTTCGGCTGTTGCTGTGGTACGAATCTCCGATTAGAGCCCTTGGAGAACTAATTGGTTTAGGGTTTAGGGACTATCCCATACCCCCAAGAAATCGTGAGGCCCCTATGTTGCATCCAGCACTGCCGGGCCCGAAAACATCAAGCCTTGAACCCCCGACTTGTTTGTCGGTGCCTTCGGGGGCGTTGGAGGCTGCCGGTGTTGAAGCTCAGGTTTCCTGAGTTCGGGTTGCGGTTTAGGGTTGTTAGGGCCTTTATAATTTGGGAGTTAGGATTTAGGGCCTTTAGGGTTTAGGGCCTGTCGAGTTTAACCCGGAACCCTAAACCCCAAAACCCTAAGCCTTAAGCCTAAAACCCGAAACCCTACAACCCTAAACCCCTAAACCCTAAAACCGTAAAACAAGTTCGGAGACTAAGGTTGGCTGGAAGACCTGCGGCCCTCTTGGTTGACTGGCGGCACATCCCAGGCTCCTTTGGCAGACTAACCCATAAGGGGAGTTCTCTAAATTAGGGTCGGTCCCTTTAATGTCAGGTCCCCAGAATAGTACGGCCCCCTTATAAAAAAGGACCCTAAGAGGGACCCTACGAGGACGTTCCCCATCAATTTACGGGATGTGAGCCGTATAGCCTTCCAGGGTCCTTGTGGTCCATAAGGTAAGCCTGTGGGGCTTGTGGGGCTTGGGCTTGAATGCTCTGGGTCAGGGTCCTTAGGTTGTCTGGGACTAACCCGTTTTTGAGGATCTGCGTAGAATGCAAGGTATCAGGAGCGTCTGTTCGCATGTGTGCTTTTCACCTCCACTCGATTTCGCTCCAGTTTTTGTGTTCGAAGGAGCTGCTGTACTTTGGCAGCAAGTTCTAGATGCATACATCATTCCAAGCTGTCGATCCCACACCCTACACCCGCAGCTCGAAATACTGCTCATAACCCCAAACCTTCACCGAAATCCCTTAAACACTCACCCCACCCCGACCCTACCCCTAATGGTAACCCCTTGTAGTGCTCCTTCCTGTACCCCCTATAGCACCCCTTTATACTTAGTACCCCAAACAATACCCCTCACTACCACCCCGTAGTCGTAGCACTTCACTAGTACCCCTTCATAGTATGTAAAACCACAGCCAAATAACCCTAACACCCAACCCCCTAAACCCTAAACCCCCAACCCCTTAAAACCCCGAAAATCTTTAATATCCCTAAACCCCCTTAGAATCCCCTAAACTCCCTGAACTGATTAAAATCCCTAAGACCCTAAACCCTAAACCCTAAACCCTAAAGCCCCCAAAAAACCGGGAGAGTCAGGTCAAGGAGCGACGGCTGAAGCCTATGGTGATGAGCAACTACTTCGGCATAGGCCCGCGGCTGTCTGTGGATTTTGGGGGTTTAGGGTTTAGGGCTTTTGGGGGTCTGTTGGGCTGAAGGCTGAGGGCTTGGGGTTTAGGGCTTGAGGTTGAGAGCTTAACGCCAAGGGCCTAGGATTTTAAGATTTAGAGTTCAGTAGGCATTGCCGCTTGGCGGTTCAGGGAAGACTGTGTTACAGCAAGAGTTCAGGTTTAGGGTTTAGGGGCCCAGGAATCTACTTTGCCTGGCTCTGCCGCTCTTACGGGCTGTAGTCATCCTCTACCTAAGGGCTCATTGTGTATTGGCTATAAAGTTTGGGCTGCAGGTAAGGTTTGTTTGTTTTTTCGGGCCCAGAGGCACTCAAATCAGAGCTACAGCATTCCACCCTCCAGCCTCTAAAAGCCTAAGCTTACCAGTTTAAAGTTTAGGGGTTCAGGGCTCCATCCCAAAACCCTCGGGCTCGGGTTGAGGGCTTAATGGTTGAAGCTTAGGGTTTCCCTATATAAGACCCAGGGCCTGACCCCTAGATGTTTAAGAATTAGAAGAGGGTTCCTTAAAGGGTTCCTTAAAAGGCTACTATAAGGGTTTAGGGGTTTAGGGTTTAGGGTTTAGGGGTTAGGCTTTAGGGTTTAGGGTTTAGGGCTTCGGGGGTTCTAGGGGTTCTGGGTTCAAAGGTGAACGTTCATATAGGGGTCTTAATAATTAGAGTCGGGTTTCAGGGTAAATTATACTACAGTTATTATATGGAACCCCCAAAACCCTATTCTAATTATTAAGGCCCCTACATTAGAAGAGCCTAGGCGTCGATGCAGCAGTGGCGCTGGACTTCCATCAGATGCGGGAGCGCAGACCAGAATGGCACCTCGCTTGCAATCTGATGTTGTGGGTTTTGCAGTTTAGACTGACTACTTTCGGTAGTGGTATCCCCTTCAAGGTTGCCGGTTCCCAAAAAGGTCTTAAAAGGGCTTGCAGGGTTATATTTTCAGTGTTTGGGACAAATTTGGTGGTGGCATCCCATTCCAGTCCCTGTAGAACGACAGGCGGTTCAGGCATTGAGGTTTCCACTTGCACTACATGCAGCTTACCCGGCTTGCCCATTAGCCTCTGGCGTGTTGGTCGTCCGGCTTGATGTATCCGCACTCAAGCCGGCGACCTCATACGTGTTGGTTTGAAAAGCGGAAAGAGTAGCGATCTACACAGCCATGAGACCTTGGACTAGACCTCGTAAATCCAAGTTTCCGTAGGATTTCAGATACTGTATCAATACACTCTGTGAACATCGGTTCCCCGAATCCTGAAGCGACTGCTAGAGTAAAAACAAAGCGCAAACCTTTCAAAAAAGAAAAGAGTTTTTTCGACGCAAGGAGCAAAATGCTCGAAAGGGACTAGAGTTTTTTGAGAAACCAAGAGCACAGCTTCGAGCGGCTTGCTCCTGGCTTCTCAACAACTCGAGTGCCTTTCGAGCAGTTTGCTCCTTGTTTCTCAAATCCTCTGCTCTTTCTGGGCGGTTTAGGGTTTCAAGTTTAGGGTTGCTTTGTTTGTCAACTACTCCAGTCCTTTCCCGCAGCTCCTTGTTTCTCAAATACTCCAGTCGCTTTCGAGCGGTTTGCCCCCTGTTTCTCAAAGGCCCCAGTCCTTTTCGAGCGGTTTACTTTTTCTTTCTCAAATACTCTACTCTGGTCCCGTTCGAGCGGTTCTCTTCTTTTCTCTCAAGTACTCTAGAAAACTTTCGAGTGGTTTGCTCCTTGGTTCTGAAAGACTAGTGTCCCTTTCGAGCGGTTTGCTCTCTGTTTCTCAAACATTCTAGTGCCTTTCCAGCGGTTTGCGCCCTGTTCCCTGATTCTCACACGCTCTGGTCCCTTTCGGGCGGCTTGCTTCATGTTTCTGCAATACGCTGGTCCCTTTCGGGTGGTTTGTCCCTGCTTCTCAAACACTCCAATCCTTCTCGATCGGTATCCCCCCTGTTGTTTTCGAGCTGGTTGGAACACTCCAGCCACCTCGGACCAAATACTCTACTGCTTTCCAATGGTCTGCTCCTTGTTTCTCAAATACAGTTTTCCTTTTTGGAGCGGTTTTCTTCCTGCTTATCAACTACTCTAGTGCCCTTCGAGCGGATTGAGTCCCTTCCGTTCGGTCTGCTCCCTATTTCTGCCTATTTCTCAAAAGCCCAGTCCTTCTCATCCCTTTTTGAGCGCTTTACCCCCTGGTTCTTTCAAACACTCTACTCTGCTTCCTTTCGAGCGGTTTTCTCATTTTTTCTCAAAACTCTGGTCCGCGGCTTGCTCTTCGTTTTTCAATCACTCTAATCGCTTTGGAGCGGTTCGCTCCATGTTTCTCGAATTTTGGAGTCCCGTTCCAGCGAATTGCTCCTTGTTTCAAACACACGTCCCATTCGAGCGGATTGCTCCCAATTCTCAAACACTCTAGTCCCTTTCGAGTCAAACAATTCTTGTTACAAGAAGCAGACAACTCTAAGGGGACTAGCTAGAGGATTTGAGAAACCGAAAGCAAACCGCTCGAAAGGGACAAAAGTGTTTGAGAAAAGAAGAGCAAGCCGCTCGAAAAATACTAGAATGTTTAGAAACAGGGAGCAAACCGCTCAAGCGGGACCAGAGCTTGTGAGTAACAGGGAGCAAACCGCTTGAAAATGGACCCGAGTATTTAAGGAAACACGGAGCAATCGTTCGCAAGGGACTAGAGTACTTGAGGAACATCGAGCAACCCGCTCGAAAACAACAGGGGGCACAGTGCTCGAAACGGACTAGAGTGTTGAAGAAACAGGCAGCAAACCGCTCGAAAGGGACCAGAGCGAAGTATTTGAGAAGCAGGGAGTAAACCGCTCGAAAAGTGACTAGATTGTTTGAGAAACAGTGAGCAAACCGCTCGAAAGGGACTAGCCTGTTTGAGCAACAGGAAGCGAACCGCGCGAAATGCACACGAGCGTTCTAGAAACAACGAGCAAACAGCTGGAAAGGGACTAGCGTGTTTGAGAAACATGGAGCAAGACGTTCACAAGGGCCAAGAGTATTCTCACAAGGGCCAAGAGTATTCGAGCAACAGGGAGCAAACCGCTCGAAAAGGGACCCGAGTATTTAAGGAAACACGGAGCAAATCGTTCGCAAGGGACTAGGGTACTTGAGGAACACCGAGCAACCCGCTCGAGAACAACAAGGAGCATACGGCTCGAAAGGGACGTGAGTGTTTGAGAACCAGGGAGCAATCCACTCGAAAGGGACCAGAGTGGAATATTTGAGAAGCAGGAGCAAACCGCTCAAGAGGGACTAGAGTCTAAGAGTATTTGAGAAACCGGGAGAAAACCGCTCGAAAGGGATTAGAGTTGTTGAGAAACAGAGAGCAAACCGTTCGAAAATTGATTAGAGTTTCAGAAACAGGGAGCATACCGCTCGAAAGTGATTAAAGTATTTGAGAAACATGGGGCAGACCGCTGTTTGAAGACACTAGTGTATGTGAGAAGCAAGGAGCAGATCGGTATTTGAGAAACAAGGAACAAACCGCTCGAAAAGGACTCGAGTATCAAGCGGTTTGCTGACGTTTCGGCAAACCGCTCGTTGAAGACACTAGTGACTAGTGTATGTGAGAAGCAAGGAGCAAATCGGTATTTGAGAGACAAGGAAGAAACCGTTCGAAAAGGACTCGAGTATCAAGCGGTTTGCTGACGTTTCGGCAAACCGCTCGTTGAAGACACTAGTGACTAGTGTATGTGAGAAGCAAGGAGCAGATCGGTATTTGAGAAACAAGGAACAAACCGTTCGAAAAGGACTCGAGTATCAAGCGGTTTGCTGACGTTTCGGCAAACCGCTCGTTGAAGACACTAGTGACTAGTGTATGTGAGAAGCAAGGAGCAAATCGGTATTTGAGAGACAAGGAACAAACCGTTCGAAAAGGACTCGAGTATCAAGCGGTTTGCTGACTGTTTCTGAAACACTCGAGTCCCTTTTCAAGCGGCGCTAGTCCCTTTCAAACATTCCAGTCTTTTTGATTGGTTTGCTCACTGATTCTCAACTACCCTAGTCCCTTTCGAGCGATTTCCTCTTGATTTTGACCTGTCCGAGCAGGCTGCTCGCCGTTTCTCAAATACTCTGACCCTTTTCGAGCGATTTGCTCCTTGCTTCTCTTATACTCTAGTCTTCTTGTTGCTCAAACACTGTTGTCTCTTGCGAGTGGTCTGCGAGGTCGTGTGGCCGCGAGGTTTTGAGGTCGCGCCGCGAGGTCAGGTCGTGAGGCCGCGAGGCCGGAAGGCCGTGACGCCGTGAAGCCGCAAGGCCGCGAGGCCGCGACGAGGTCATGAGACCGCGAGGTCGTGAGACCACGAGGCCGCGAGGTCAGGTCGGGAGGGCCACGAGGTTGTGAGGCCGCGAGGCTGCGAGCTTAGGCCGCAAGGATACCAATTCCCGTAACCCCATGTCAGGTCTGATCTCGTTTTTATTGGGGATTTCTGGAGTCAATTCAGGTTGGGAGGATGTGTCTGAAGAGTTGAGCCCTAAACCCGAGAGACCCCGAAAGGTTTTGGTCGCAGCTCGTCAACAAGCTTTGGTACTTCAGGCCTGCCCCATGGTTGGGGCTCAGAGCGGGAGGGCCGAAGTTTAGATTTAAAGCCCTTGGTTACAGGGTGTTGGGGTGTGGCTCTAGCGTGCGGGGTTTAGACTTTAGCGCTTCGGTTGTCGGATTGTCAAGCGGCTTGTGGCTCGAAGAGAGAATTTGCAAACAAGTAAATTCCGCTCGGGGCAAGAAGCCCGTATACAAGCATCCCAAACCCCCGTTAAGACCCGTACGGCACCTACATCAATCAAAACTTTCGAGAGGTGTTTCGGGTGCTCCGACGTCTAGCTGTTGCATATTCACTCTTCGGCCGGTTGAGTTTGCTAGGATCTGCCGGGTCGTCCCCCCAAGAGACCGTACTTTAAGTACTAGCTGTTTCTCTTCGACCACGTAGGCTTGCTTTGGGGAAAGGCTGGGTGTTGTCAAGAGCGTGTTCTCCAAGCCATGATCCGGTTCACCGGTTTTTTGGGGATTCACAGAAGGGTAATGTAGTGGTTTGGCTTTGGTTGATGGGTACTATCATCCCTTGCAGTCCCTTTATTAGTCATCCTCGGGAACCCAATTCGATATACTACGAAGGTCCCCATCTCAACTTTCTAACTCAAGGGATGTTGAATAGGAGCCGAATAATAGCCTCTCAAGAAGATTGCGAACCATGCGTTAAAAGGGCCTCATAGGGTCGGACGAGAACTTTACCATCTTGTTCGAAGGGGTTGGTGGAACAAAGCTTCGGGGGTGTCCTGCCATCTTTCATGAGCGATTCTAGTCTAAGTCATGATCCGGAAAAACTCCTGACGTGCCCTGCAAAACGGTTCGGTCTTTTCCAGCCTATGCATTTCCAGGGGCCTCTGTCCAGCTCTCCGTGGCAGGAGTGGGGCTGTCGCCTGGCTTGCCAAGACATGCGCCAACATTGGGAGTAAGATCGAAGTCCACTGCGCCGCTCGACAGTCCAACACCTAGAAGTGTTCTATATGCAGGAACATAGGGTTTAGGGTTTGGTGTATGGCTGCGGTTTAGGCTTCTAGGCTTCTTTGCTTCGGAGTTGACACTACTGCACCAATAGCATGGGGTCGGAATACTAACTGCTGGGCAAGCCGTTGCCGGCTTAGAAGCGGTGCACTACACCACGTACACTTATCGCTGGGGCTACGGGGGTTGAAAATAGGGTTGATATCTTGCTTTACGGTTTTATTACGGTTTTACATGCTGTGCAACGGAAGCGCTTGAGACGCGTAACTCGTCGGGTCTTTTTGTAGAGCTGTGGATGTCTTTTTTCATGCTCCAAAGATGACTTTCCCATCCGAGGATGGTGAAGCCGCCGGCTCCCCAGTAGTTGGTTTTGGTCGGTTTGTGTTGCACGCTTAACTCAAGCAGTAGGAAACACCACGAAGTTTGGGGGTTTTGGCAGATGGTGTAGGCAGTGTCGTTTGCACAGGCTCTACCTTCTATTAGCTTCAGCATTGCCAGGCTGCCACAGGGCTTATGTATTTCGCTTTACATGCGTTTTTGATGCCTGTGCCCTGAGCAATCGAATTGCGGAAGCCGTGCTACGGCCTTGACAGAAGTTGCTTGAACGCCTGAGACTAAGCCCGGAAGCTATTTGTTTGTGGGAGAGATGAGCAGGGTTTGGGTATGCGGAGTGCTGTAAGCTCCCACCTCTGAACTCGAGCACTCGAGCAGGGACAACGCCTAGGAGAAGCAGAGATCTGACCCTGAAGCGTTGCATCCTGAACTGTCTGGTGCTTAGTAGGGAATGGGGGAATGGGTTCTAGGGACTACTATAAGGGACCTTAAGGGAGTATCACAGGGATCCATTCCCCCATTCCCTACTATGCACCAGACAGTGAATGCTGTCAGTTCCACCCGCTGGCATTCTCAAGTATCAATCGAACCAGATATCCAGAACCGAAGCGGCCCTCGTCAGCCCCAACACTGGGTCATGATTTCTTTTTAGAAGTATAGTCCAATATCGCCCAAAAACTTATTCTACCCTATCTATATAATAGATACATAGATATATCGCAAAACCCTTGGGTTTACAGTATCGCCCCAAAGCATCATGGAACTACAGCATTCCGACATGACAGTAAGGTGGAGATCCCTTCTTCGCTGGAAGGCATCATCGTCTTGAACATCCCCAGCTTCGGGGGAGGCATCGGGGCTGAGAGGGGCCGGCTTGTATGAATCTTCAACCCTAAACCCTAAACCCTAAACCCTAAACCCTGGCCTCAGCAGTTTCAGTATAGACAGGCCTCAATCCAAAGACTGGCCCTGGGCTGCCGAATCTTCTGCGCAAGCCGTATAGAAGCCCGAACCTTCCCTAGGTTTAGGGTTTAGGGTATGCTATGAATCCCCAATCGCTCTTGCCCCAAGCCCTTGGCGTTGTTCATTTTATGGATCCCTGCCAAAAAACCCCTAAAAGACGGAACCCCAAACGCTCCCGAAACCCTAAACCCTAAACCCCTAAACCCCCAAACCCCTAAACCCTACACCCTAAACCCTAAACCCCTAAACCCTACACCCTAAACCCCTTAAAAGAGAGCCCCTTGGGAAGGAACCGACCTCTGG